AATATGAAAAATATTACAATCAAACTGCGTTTTAAACTTAATTAAACAGGTTTTATTAAAGCGATACGCAGATTGTATATACACAAAGTAAAAAGTCCTTCATTAATTAAAAATAATTATTTGTGTTGCTGCCTTGGGTGTAGATTGTGAGATCATTTCATATAGGTTAAATTCTGAGTTTGTTAAATTATTATATATATATATATATATAATTGTAATAGTTATTTTTTTTTCAAGCACGCTCACTGTTTTAAAATCTAAAACTCGCAACGTTAAGCTAAAAATTCGGTTAATAAGGTTTAAAAAATACAGCCTCAGACCTCAAGAAAAAATATATATATTAATATGTCCACATGAAATTTATGGGTTTTTCTTTAATCTTCGAATTAGGCGGTCTTTCTTTTTTGCTAGCTTGCTGGTAAGAGGCAAACGAATGGAGCACCAACAAAAGTAAAAAATATAAAACAGAAGAATATTCTTTCCTTCTGTTATTTACTGTGGAAATATTAAATTTATGTTAATTATCTCAACATCTTTTAGTTAGTATTTCTGACTAAATGTCGTTTGCAAAAATTAAGAGATAAAATTAAAGTTAATATTTTTATTACCTTGTTTAAAGATTTTTCTTTAGTTTAAAATAAAAACCTACGCACCCTTTTATGGAATTTTCTATGTTTATTTTTACTCCACACACGAAGTAATGCTTGAAAGTAGTTAGGAATAGATGTAATAAGAAGTATTTATATTAATTATTAACGCCTCTCGCATAGTATTTTTAATTAAATGCCGCTTACGAAGTAAAAAAAGTAAAAATTAGAGGTATTATATTTGTTACTTAGTTTAAAGATTTTCCTTTAGTTTAATATGAAAACTACTCACTCACCCTTTTTCTGGGATTTCTATGTTTTTTTTGCTCTATCACGAAGTAATACTTGAAAGTCTATAAGTACTTTTATTCGTAAAATTTAAATATATTTTTTCATACTAATACTTATATTAGGCTTCTGGGGGGGGAGGGGGAAATGTAGTAAATTTTCTACATATTTATTTTTTGCTCTTATTATGGATAGATTTGTTTATATTTTATATGTAAGCATTCTTCTTCATTTATATTATAATTTTTATAACAAGTCGTTATTTATTTCTACATTTATTTAATTAAGCAAGTGCCTCTCGTTAAGTAAATTTTTAAGGGGCCTCACCGCTTTAGAGAATCTCCTTAGCTTAATTCTGTTCTTTATTTCAAAAGAAGTTTTTGCCAGTAGATCAAATTGTGTAAACATTTCTACAAATAGAATTTAGTACCAAAGCGACTCTGCTTTACTAAAAAAGTTTATTCTTGAGCGAAAATTTATTTAGCAGTTTTTGTCTTACAATAATTTTCTTTCAAGATTTAATTCCTTCAACGCTTAACCTAAACCTAACCGACTTTGAATCTTAGCTCCTTTAACAACTAACTTTCTTCTATTTTATATTATTATTCAATTGCACTCGCTTATCAGTTGAAGTTGTTTTTAGCTCTTATACTCTATAGAAGTTTAGATATTCTACCTTAATATGTTTAAATTTAATGAACTCTATTTAATTTTCCTAAAAACATTAAGAATTAGTTTTAAATAAACAGTAATTCACTTTCTCTTCATATCTTGTAAAACGCTAAACTAATCTCCATAACTTTATGTTCCGGTTATATTGATACATAAAAGATTCTTATATAATAAAGGTCCATCCACGTCTCCACGTCTTTACCTACTACACAGATCTTTAACGAGGTCTCTTCCTTGTTTACAGATTTTTTATTATTGTAGACAACTTCAGGAGAAAATAGTGTAACGGATCAACACAATAAAGTAACTAGATTTTAATTAGCCCAAATTTCTTTTTGAAAATGGTCAAGTTCTACCTATTATTTCTTCAACTAAGTAGTCGATTAATATTGTTTTAGTATGCTTCACTCTCTTTCTTCAGCAAAGCCAAGCTTTTTAGAACTTGCCCTTTGCTGACAATAAAAATTATATCCGAATTCTTTTATAATACTGAACCGTGCTATAATCTTTCGGTAAAAAAATACCTCTATGTAACATTGCTTGATATTATTTTCGTTTGTGAAACACACTAAACACGCTAATATAGTTTTAAGGTTTTTATTCTTATAAGATTAGGAATTTTATATTTCTAAATATTTATATAACTAAAAATAGAAAACGCAGTTAACACTGCCATCTTATTGCTTCTTCTAAAGTATACAGTCGCTATAATAAAAATTTGAATTTTATAATTAAAACCAATAAATAATGCACAGGCTTTTAATCTTGGATAACAAATTTTTTATATTTATAAAACATAAGCAAAGTAATTAAAATTTGCTTTGCTCTGTTAAAGCACATTTAAATCTTAAATATACCACAAAATTCTTTTTTTAATGCATTACCATTTTAGCGTGAGTATCTTTTGCCAAGTATTTTCTAAAATTTTCTGAATCTTTAAACTTAAAGTTCTTTATGCGGTAAAGCTTTCTTAATAGCTTATTTTGATATAGCTGAAATTTCCTTATAAATCGAGGAGCAGTACTAAACAAGAGAGATTACGCTAAAAACAAGGGGATACTCGTTTGGTATACTAAAAATATCTTAAATTTAACTACAAATTAGAGAACATTGTATCTGTATTCACCGTATTCATTTATAAGCCTCTACTCATTTTAATAGTAAAACGAAACATGTAAAGAAATTCGAATTTTTTTTTTTTGGAAAATTGTGTTTTAACTTTCTTTCTTTGTACTCGCCAGGTTTTAATATATAAATTATATTTTTTAGAAGAAAAAGGGTGTTTCTGTAAATATCGCTGTTGATGTGTGGGCACTTATAAATAACAGTATATAGGTATTGTGAGAATACCACAGCCTTCTACTTTTGGTTAATAGCATAAGCTCTACATTTATTCTTTATTTCATAAACTGAAAACCATGAGTGATCTTCGCTAAGTTTCCCACATAAACAAGCTAAATAAAAATAAACATTTTATATTCTTCACATTCCTTTAAATTCTAATTAGATACACTCCGCTGCTCCTTTAAAGGGACTAACGTTTGAATACTGAAAGCAGTAGCCTCAAAATTAGAAATAATTAAACAGTGGCAAATAATCCTTTTTTAGCGTCGCTATACAATGTTAAGTCAGACATAGGTTTAAGTAAGAGGTACCGCATTAAACTATGAGTTTTTGTTTTTTTTAAGAAAGGGGCCCGTCCGCCGCCGTGTCTAATTTCTTTTCAATATCAAGTAGGCGATTCTTGTAAATTTTTTTTTTCGATTTTTATTTTTACTGATAAATATAGTAAATTAATAGAAAACCTTTTTAATAATCGTACTGATCTGCGTAAATTATGATGCGCTTTGCTAATCTTTTCAATTAGTTTCCAAATACATTGTATTCCTACAACATATGCCAGCAGTGAAAACCCAAGCTATTTAATTAAGGAAGATAATTATAAGATCGTCTTCTTCTCGAGCTCCTCTTCAGTTATAATAGTATCATGTAAGATTCGCTTAGCAACTGCATTGGCTTTTTCTACAAGTAATTGCTGAAAATATTAAAATCTATTTTTAACATATTTTTCCCACCGCAACGATTTCGAAGTATTTAAGACTAAACCAACATTATACTCCAAAATGGCTAAGTACTTCCCCTTTGTCAAGTAGTCTTTTGCTTGCGCTTCATTGCGACCAGTACGTGCAGTTCACCGGATTTATATAATAATCTCGAGAGTTGGTAGATTTACTCGTTATAGGTATTTGAAGCCTCTTCAATATTTCTTAGTTTACTACCTTTTCTCTAGCTTTTTAAAATTAAAATTCTGTTATCAGCTATATTAACTATATTAATAAAACAGCTAAGTCAGTTATTTAGTATATATAAAAAATTAAAATTAGCAGCATGGTATACCGCATAAACGCAAATATCTTAGCCTCCTTTTAAGTTTAAAGAGGTAACAAAGAAGGTACTCTTTAATAAAACCTCCAAGGTATCAAGTATAGTCAACATTGTAAAATGAACTCGCGCACCGCGTGCTTACACTCTTGTATAAATTAAAATCTCTTTTATGTGCGCAGTTCAATTTTAAAAACTCTATTAATAAATAAAAAATATAAAAGTATTTAAATTTACTTGACTTGCTTATATAAAAGCATAAACTTAATAAAATAAAGTAAGCACCGACAAGAATAGAAGCACCTGAATGTTATATACATATAAAAATATTAAAATAGCACTGGCTTACTACAGGCTTGATTTATAATCAACTGCTGCTTAATCTACTTTTCTTATACTAAAGGAGAGTCGAAAACCACAATGTCCATAACGAATCATTGCACCGTAACGAGGAAGGATGCGCTTTATCATCACAGCTATATAGTATATATACATAAAGATGATATAGCAAAATATTAACTAAATTACATGTAAAGAATTAGTTAGGCTTCAATACGGAATTGTTATTAGAATATACATATCAATAAATTTATATATTAAATTATAGTCTTTGCCCATATTTTCCCGTTTATAGGTCTAAGAAATGAGCTTATCTAAATAGTATGTGGTATCATTACCAGCTTAACTTAACCAGTTCCTTAAAATTTTTTATAGATAAATTTGGATAGACTCGAAATTTCACTCTCTATATAAACTGATGCGCACAGACCAAAAAGCGTTCATTACCATTCTCAAAACGCGATTTTGTCATATATGCAGTACCTAATAAAAAAAGCCTAAGGTTTATCAAGTAAGTTGTGCACGTGAGGGTTTCTAATCACGTGTTTAATGCTGAGCATAGCAATCAGCACATGGCTATAAGTTTTAAATAGCCTTCGCTTGTAGTTTACTGTTTTCGTTGTTTGAAGGCGTTAAATTATATTGGATATAATTTTAATTGTAACTTTTATTATTTTTATTATTATACTAACAAATAATTGTTTTATTTTATTGTTTATATATGTAAAGAAAATGACGAAAAGAAAAATTTTTGACGGAGCTATTGGGATCGATCTTGGCACTACTTATTCTTGTGTAGCCGTTTTGCAGCACGGAAAAGTAGAAATTATTGCTAATGATCAAGGTGACGTTAATAACACATTTTATTAGCATTCTATATCATTTTTATTATATATAACTACTTTTTCAGTAGAATATTATTATTTTTTAAAGGCATAATATTAACTTTTTTGTATTTTTATTATTGTAACTAAATTTTGAGAAAAAAATGTAATTTTTTTAAATAACCTATATTCATATATAATAAGGAAGTAGAACTACGCCTTCGTATGTATCGTTCCACGATAACTTTAGAGATATTGGCGGGGCGGCCAAGTCTCAGTGTGCTATGAATCCTGAAGGCACTATCTTTGACGCCAAGCGTTTGATAGGAAGAAATTTTGATGATGAAACGGTGCGTTTAGACATAAAACTTTGGCCTTTTAAAGTAGTTAATAGAAAGAATAAACCAGTTATACAAGTTCGCTATCAAGGTTTTATTTTTTTTCTTCATAGCCGAATTTTCTCTATAAATTCTAGATCTTTATTGTTCTTAGGCGGCCTCAAAGACTTTTATCCCGAACAAATTTCTGCAATGGTGCTGGAATATATGAAGGAAACGGCGGAAAACTATTTAAATCAGAAAGTCACTAAGGCAGTAGTCACTGTCCCCGCCTACTTTAACGACGCCCAGCGGCAAGCTACTAAAGATGCCGCCGCGATTGCTGGTCTTGAGTGCTTGCGGATCATAAATGAACCCACCGCAGCCGCCATCGCATATGGCCTCGACGGGCCGACCGCCACATCTAAAGGAAAAAATGAGCGAGTCGTGCTGATTTTTGATCTCGGCGGTGGCACTTTTGATGTTTCTTTGCTCACCATCGAAGGCGGGATCTTCACCGTGAAGGCCACTGCGGGGGACACCCATTTGGGCGGCGAAGATTTTGACCAGCGCTTGCTGGGATTTTGTCTTGAGCAATTTAAAAGTATACACAAAGTTGATATTTCCGCCAACCCACGTGCTGTCCGCCGTCTGCGGTCGGCATGCGAGCTTGCCAAGCGAAATTTATCGGCGCTTGCTCGCACGGAAATCCAGGTGGACGCGCTTTATAACGATAAGGATTTCTCGCTGGTTATAACACGTGCTAAATTCGAAGAGCTGTGCATGGATTTGTTTGTGGGCTGTTTGAAACCAATAGAAAAAGTGCTTAGCGACGCCCACATGGCCAAAAACCAAGTCGATGATATTGTGTTAGTGGGCGGGTCTACACGTATTCCGAAAGTACAAGCACTTCTTAGAGAATTTTTTAACGGGAAGGAGCTCTGCTCGTCCATCAATCCCGACGAGGCTGTCGCCTACGGCGCTGCCGTACAGGCCGCAGCCCTCACCGGCCATGACCCCGCCACCACTGCGCACATGCTGCTGCTGGACATTGTACCTCTCTCACTGGGAATTGAGACGGAAGGAGGCCTCATGTCCGTGGTTGTCCCTCGAAACACTTGCATTCCGTGCATCAAGACGTCCATGTTTACAACCACTGCGCCCAATCAGAGGAGCGTGGAATTCCCCGTCTACGAGGGTGAGCGGCCTTTGACACGTGACAATAACCTGCTAGGGCAATTCTGCCTAAAGGGAATAATGCCTGCCCCCGCGGGGGTTCCTGAACTCGAGGTCACTTTTAACATTGACGCTAATGGCATAATGAACGTGTCCGCCAGAGACGTGTCGTCCGGCCAGGAGTCCCACGTGGTCATCGAGAATAACCGAAACGCCCATTCGCAGGAAGATATTGAACGAATGATCCACGAGGCCAAGTTGTACGCCAGCGAAGACCAGAAAATGAAAAATGAAATTGAGCAAAGTTTACTGCGCGATTTGGATGCTTTTACTTTTTAATTATTATTATAATTAATATTATTTTCGCAACTTTTTTTTATTGACTTGAAAAATTTATATTAATAAAATTTTTTATTTCTGTCGGGTATATTTTTGTTGTGAATAACATATACATGAATATTTTGGCACATTTATGAAAGATAGAGTAAAGTTTATTTTTTTATATTTATCTGTTAATAAAATAAAATCCCAAACAGCTTAACGCAAAAGTTGCACTCGTTAATAAAATTTTAGTAGGAGAAAAAAATTTCTCATAAGTTTTTATAAGTGACTCGTCACGTGGTTCCTGTGATATGTGATTTTCTTGGTGGCTTTCATCTGTATTTGGATTCAGATTATTGAGGCTGGATCTGAATAATAATAATAATAATAATAATAATAATAATAATAATAATAATAATAATAATAATAATAATAATAATAATAATAATAATAATAATAATAATAATAATAATTTAAAATTTAACTTAATTTGGGCTAATTCTTGCTGGAAACTTTTCAAATAAACTGAAACGTTATTATAAAAATCTGTTTCATTATATTTTTGGTCTAGTACGTTTTCGAGTTCTAATATTCAAACAAAAAAATATTAACTTATTATTATTACTACTGTTATATACTATTGTTATTAACCTTTTATTAATTTTTTCCTCTTTCTCGGCTCAAAAGTTACTGCGGTTAATAATAATATTACAAAGTTGATTCCCTTTTTTATAAAAAGTAAAAATAAACGAATAATAACAATAATAATAAAGTAACCATGACTAACAAAGTTCCGTAAGTGGACAGACTTCTTATTTTATCACTCCATAACTGTTCTTGATGATACCGTTCCCGAAAAACTTTTAAATAATAATAACAATATAATAATAATAGTAATAATAATTTTCGTATATATATTAATAAAAGCGCATTATAAATTTTAAAAAAAAGAAAGCACGTGCGTTTGCACATTGCTACATGGCCATTTCTATATAAATATGCTTTGCATAAAAACTTAGTAATTACTTTAATGCGCTCTAAACTTCGTATTATTATTATTATGAAAAGTTTGCCAAGTAAAACAGATAAGAAGCTTCAAAAAATTGTTGAGTTGTACTGCATTTAACCCTTAAATTTATATTATAAGAACAATAATAATAGTAACAATAATAACAACAACGTTAATAATAATAATAATAAATATATTAATAACACAATAATAATTAGTAATAATAATATTAATTTTAATTAACAATAATATAACTTACCGGACATAAGCTCGTTTAAGCGAGCTTCCACTAGTGCTTCGCTGGACTTGTATTGGCCATCGAGTTTTTCTTTAAGTTCCTTTAATTATTATTATTATTATTTAGTTATTGTATAAAAGAAATAAAATAAAAACTTGTAAGTGATATTCTTTTTGGCATAGTTCAGTAAAAAATTTAACTTCTTTTTCTCCCCACCTGATAATAATAATAATAATAATAATAATAATAATAATAATAATAATAATAATAATAATAATAATAGTAATAATAATAAGAAGAGAAAGTACATTTGTTTTCTTTGTAATAAGGAATTAATATCCTGCTGGCAGGTGTTGCGCTCTTGAATTACTTTATTGTACTGTAATTGGGCTTCCTTTAATTAGTTATAATAATATTATTGGTAATAATAATAATTATAACTTTACCAATATTGATAAATTATAATAATAATAATTAAGAAACTTTAAATGCTTCTCGTGAAGATGAAAAATCGAGATCTGCTTTAAGAACTTTTTCTTTAAGAGCGAGAATTTCGTCGTAACCAGTAATCTTTATATAAAAAAGTTATTAAACTTTTTCAAATGTTAAGATAATGGTTTTTGCTAAATTATATATTAACTTTTTATTAACGAGTTATGTTTCAAAGTATTAAACTTTAACTTAATTCAAGCTAGTTATACAAAAATTTATAGTCTCTAGAGTTGATAATATATATATATAAATTTTATAATAATAAATAAAATCTTTTAATATTTTGTTAAAGCTATCTTTTTTTTACCTCATTAAACTTTGTTGATAGCGAAAGAAGGAAAGGGCTGGCTTTATTGTAAAGTGATGAGGCAAGCAATCGGCCGTTTTCATACTTGATAGAATTTGAAACGTCATTATTCATTTATTTATTATAATAAATTAATTACACAAGGAAAGATTACTAGAAACTTAGTAATGAAAAAGTTAAATACTGTAGTAAAAATTATTTAGAGAATACGGTTAACAGAAACCTTAACTTACAAATATATATATGCTTAGATATTTTGGTAATCAGCAAAAACAATATATAAAAAGTTTTTTTTAAAGCTGGTATTTGGTTAGTTTTAATGAAAAGAAAGTTTTTTTTTAAAGATAATACCAAAAAATCTTTAACTTGTTATGCTTGTTAGCAATTACTTTAAATTAAGATCAGCTAATAGAAAAGTTATACTCTGATCAATTATTATTGTAGTGTAAAAATATATATGGGAATAGAGTCATAGTATCATGGATTTTAGTTAATAAAAAAGTTATACTTTATTTATTTATCGTAGTAAAATTGTATATGGGATATAGCAAACTTTACACTAAATATATATATACTTCATTAAAAAAATAACTTCACGGTAAAAAGGAAATTTTTTTTTACAATAAGTTTTCCTAGAAGTGTTATTATCCAAAAATAACTTATTTAATCTATTTTTAATTTATGTTATTGTTTATTTTAAATAACAAGTACAATAAGTGAGCTTTAGGATTTATGTCTTTTTGAATATATAAATTATTGGCCTACTTATACTTTACCCAAAAATTTATAATTTAGTGCTTATCAATTTTTTTTAAATATAATAGTAAACACTTTTGCTTTGAAAAAATTTAATTTACTATAGCATTTTAGCTTAAAAATTTTACTTAAATTTTTTAAAGGCTATTTTAAGTCAACCGTTCTTATACTTTTTTACGGCAATCTAAATTTTTTTAAGATATTGTTACATCCTTGCCTATAACTTTTTGATTACATAAAACAATACTTCTCTTGTAAAAATTTAATTTCCTTACAGCATATAATTACTACTTAATATTATAAAAGACTAATTTAAGTCAACCATTCTTATTTAGAGGCAACTCTAAATGATTTTCTATATTTATTATACGCTTAAGAAGTAAACGTTTCTACTTTGAAAAAATATATTTTCCCTACATTTCTCTTAATGTATTTAACCGTTCTACTACTTTTTTGTTGAAACTTTGTATTTTTTAAAAAAAATGCTTATCAATTTGTATTTTAAATATAATAGTAAACAGTTTTGCTTTAAAATATTTTCCTAAAGCATTAAACTTTAAATTTTACTTAAATTTTTAAAAGGCTACTTTATGTCAATGTTCTCATACTTTTTTTTAAGTAATTCTAAATTTTTTTAAAAAGATTTATTAAAGCTTATCAATTGTTTTTTTATTTACAATAGTAAATACTTTTGCTTTGAAAAAATATATTTTTCTTACAACATTAAGCTTAAAATACCATTTTTATACTTTTTAGAAGCAATTCTAAATGTTTTATAAAGAAGGTTTGTTATATGTTTGATAATTTATAAATTAATTGAGTAAACATTTTTACTGTGAAAAAAGTATTTTTTCCTACCTTTAGCTTTATATTTTTAATAGTTCTTCTACTCATTTGTTGAAACTTCAAATTTTTCTTTAAAAAAAATGTTAATGCTGATCAATTATAAAAGTAAACAATTTTCCAGTTTAAAAAAAATATATATTTTTCCTATATTTAGCTTTGAATTTATTTTTGAAATTATAAGATTAAATAAAAACAACTCTTTTTATAGTTTTTGGAAGCAAATTTAATTTTTAGCAAAAGCCAAGTTTTTTGAAAGTATAATTCCTGTTCTAATAAGCTTCCTAGGTGTGACTAATAAATTCCCTACGCCATTTAATAATGGTAAATTTTTAACTTCCTATCTAAAAAAATAATTTCCTTTTTAAAATTACTTTAATAGCGTATATTAATTACTACAATTTCATGTTATTTTTCTGCTCAGTTTTATATTGCCTATTATAAGTTACAATTTAAGTAAAAACATTCCAAAATTAAATTTATACTAAAATAACGAAAATTTTTTTATAGCCCAATAAATATTCTTAAAGAATATATATAATAAAGTTTATAATAACTATAATAATGCACATAATAAAGTTAGTAAAAAGATATTAATAATATTAAAGCATATAAAAGAGTAGTGGTTATTATGTAATTTATGTAAAAAAAAATTATAATAAATAATAAAGCAAGCAAACTTAATTACGTTCCATATGTTATATAAATAAATCAAATAGAATATAAAGTAATTACGATAAACTTTGTAGGGAGAGTTGTCTTAATTCTTGTTTTAAAATCTGTGAAAAAAAAAATTTAATTTTGAAATTTAGGAGTATAAGGTAAACAATTAAAAGAGAGAGGATAATACGTTTAAAACAAACCACAAACCACTTTCTTTATAATAAGTTTATAATTATTATATAATTGAGTTACAAAGAAATTTATTATTCTTTTTTTTAAACAATTAAAATTAAACTAAAAATTCAAACTATATAATAAACTGTATTATATATATATGTTAATGGAATAGTAATAAGTCGAAATAAATTAGACTTTAGTTTTTGAAAAAATCCCCAAAGTATATTTGAAACGAGGATAAATAAGAGTAATAACGCATTTAGGTATGCATAAATCTAGTTATTATTTTAAGAAAGATATTGTTGATATATATTATTACAGAAATACGGAATTCTACAAAAAGAATTTAATTTATTTTGATATTTTACTTCTTGTAGAAAGGGTATAAACTTCAAATTCTTTAATGTTTTTAACATAAAGATAGTAAGAATTTTAATACTTCTAACTTAAAATAAAAAACTAATATTAGAAAAAAATAAACGGCGAAAATAAAGAGAATTTTATGTTTTCCTGGGCATTAGTATTAGAAAACTCAAGTTGGTCACGAGTTACTAAACCTTTTAACCAGCGATGTACACCATATAAAATCTATAGTAATTACTTACGAAATTCTACCTTTTGTTATTTTTATGGCGTTAAAACACATAATGAAATAGTAACTTTAATTAGAGGATATCTTTATACCGTTGAGTAACATTTTCTCTTTAAAGTATATGAGAGACTGCTGCTAAAAAATAGATTAAAGCAATGCTAGCTAGCATTTAGGGCCATAGTTAATGTAGGCAGAAGAATATTACTTATTACACTTCAGTACTTTTATTAAGGAGTTCATGACTTTTACTAGTCGCTGCGTGTTATCATTGCTGTTTATTAGCACGAGTTGTGACACCTTTCTTATTAGGGTAATGCGATTCATTTTTAGAAAAAAGCTGTATCTTATTATTTTAAGCGCTAAAAGGGAGCCCCTGCCAACTTTTTTAACCGAAAGTTGAAATACCAAGAAGTGCATCGCTCGGAGAAGGTGCCTATCTTATTATCAGACTCCAGCTGTTTTGTGACTAATTTATTTACTTTAATGATTTTTTACAACAAAAGTTTTACTAAACCCTCAACCTCTCAATCAGTTTCCCTTCATGTTAGAAAGGTAATGGCCCTTAACCGTTCAGGTAACGACATTTTATTGTAGAAAAGTTTTAAAAATCGGGGTTAGCACAAACCTTGATCGTTATTAAAATAAATTTGTAGTGGTTGCCAAATAATTATGAATTAATATTATGACACCTAATTGTAAACGTTGCTTTAAAACTATGGAAGGGTTTAGGTTAGGGTTAAGGGTTTTTCGTAAGTATATATTTTAAAATAGTTGCAAAGTTTAAGTTCAGTACTGACGGCTGACGCCTCCAACAATATCTGCTATGCGCGCATTGCTGCTAAAAAGTTTCCTATGTAGTGAATATATGTGCTTGTGCGTACTACTGTTTACTTTGAAGTTTGTTAATTAAAAAAATGCTGTGCTCGTGTACAAAGTAATTATATATATTATCGAAGTGCCCAGAAAAGTTATTTTGTATTATACCTTTGATTATTTATAATATGCTACTTCTAAAAAACTTTTTAAGTCTGCAAAAACAGTCATTTTGGTAACCTGATTGTTTTGCGTATGATGTCAGCCTGCGTTTGCAGCCTTCGAACCTTCCTCATCTCAGTTTGTTTTTATGATAACTTCAGTACTTCTTCACATCAGGTAGCTCCAATTTAATTAAGTTGTTAAAGATTTAGGTTACCTCCGCACTAGTTTTTAATAAATTTATATAAAAATTCTTGTTACACTTAAAGGTGTGAGCTATAAATTTTGAATGTAACGAAACAACATTTTTACAAGCTAAAATCTATTTAAAATATAATACAGCACTTTAAAACGTATAAAACAATTTTCTCGGAGCAATGAAGAGAAACCTCCAATCTAAACTTGCTAGGTGAATCAAATTGAGTGATTTAGAGGCACCAAAAATAATGAAAGTGAGAGTAAAGACTAGTAAGATATTATAGTGTATAGTTTAGTGACACAACTTAATTAAGCTGAGTTTCGTAATAAACATAATAGAGGAAAGAGCAGTTAAGTATTAATAAACGAAACTTTTTAACTGAGCGCCATTTAAAAGTTCGTAAACTTCCTTAATCCTTTTAAAATTAAAGACGAACTCTATTTAATATATTTTTTACCATCATTTAGAAACAGCGGTATAGCCGCTAAGCCAAAGGACACAACTTTTAAATGTCTCTATAGATTAGAGGGTGAGAGTGAGAGGTGTTTTAATTTAGATTTTATATTATATGTATACATATTACTTGTTAAAATGAAAATGAATTTACCCTTTTTAATTATTAATTACTGACATACTACAGTAGATATGGAAATAAACAACAACTTTAATGTTTAATCCTTATCCCCCTTTAAACTATGAGAGAGGTAAAGAAGGATCCAGTCTTTCTCAAGCGGTCGTCATCTTCGATGCTTGGGTAGCAGCTAACAAGTTATAAGAAGAAAAAAAGTAACAACAACAAAAAAATATAATATAAAGAAAAATTAGATTAAAATAAGTAAATAAGTTAAGTAAATAAATAATTAAGGGGTAATATAATATGTAAATATACTACGTGTGTGCTATTTTTCTTTTATATGTTAGCTAATTTAAAAATACTTAGGTTGACTTAAGCCTTTTGAAATAACAATTTATATGTATCCTGTCGCTATTTTATATGGAATTAAAATATATTAAATATGAATCAACAAAAAATAAAAATGGTAATAAATTGGGGCTCAAAGGAAGCGACCTTGAGATGTGTTTAGGTCTTTTATACCTGTGATACTAGCCTTGAGTTACAACAGAAGTGGCTACTAAACTATTGGTATGTTAACTGTATACTTTATAGTGTTTAGTCGCCATTTGTAAGAACAAAGCATTAATTTCTTTCGACTGACAGTCACTGTGATTATTCTAAGGAGTTCGTTTTGAAAAATCTGTAGCCTACTTATATGATGCCTAGAGTAGGCCCAAGGAACGGAAGCATATACCATATTTGGGCGAATAATGGATTCATAAAAAAGTTGCTTTTTTTTAAGTGGAGTTTACTGCGCCTACCATATTAATGGGTGTGGGACATCCTTGGCAGCATCATTTTTCTCAGGTCGTACTCAATATGAGTGTTGCAAGTAAATTTATGATCTATAATAACCCTAAGTGCCTAATACGAGGCCTTTACAGAATAGAAGTTTAAATATATGTAGAGTTTGGCACTCTTGAATATTAACTCTGCTTCTTGAAATTATTATCGCTACACTCTTAGAAGCATTGATCGTTACCTTATAATTAGTAAACCAGGTTTCCAGCGTGTAATAATAAAATTGTAAGTGTTTAATACCCAGTGTCGTTGATTAAAATGACAGAACATTCCTGTGTCGTCCGCATCTCGGGCCAGTGATACGGTAGTTGATCTGGCCATCTCTACCATATAAACCGACTAGAAGCGGAGATAAAGTTAATCATTGAGAAACTCCCAAGTTTAAATCCATCAGATTTAGATTAACCACGCCTAAACGGACTATGAACAATTAATTAGTGTATGGTTTTCACCTGGACTAAGGGCCTAGGAAAGTGAAGCTCAGTTATCTTAAAGACAAGCCATCTATGTCAAATCGAAAGCTTTCTCAATGTCTAAAATGGTATATTTTCTATTGTTAAAGGCTTTAATGACACATTCTGATAGTTATAGAACCTGTTGGTATGTGGTGCGGTTTTCATAACCGAGTTGACTCTCTGGAATAATGTTCGTTCCTTTTGCAAAGTAGATTAAGTTTGCGAATACCACAGCCTCCGCAAATTTACTCTGGAGGATAGTAAACTTATGGGCCTACAGTCTTTAACAAAGTTTCCTGGTTTGTTTCAATTTTGGAAATAAAATAACTTTTGCTAACTTCTGCTAACTTCCAACGGTTTAGAAAGTTTACATAGGTAATAGCCTTAGTATTAAAATTTTTAAGCATTAGAATGAAACTACCTTTTGTCCCGCAGCCCCTCTGGTCCTCAGGAGTTGTTTATATTAATAATTTTTTCGCAGCTAGTAAATAAAGATTGTCTAAATTATGGTAAAAGGTCGCCTCAAACCAACTCTCCCTTCTTCAGTCGTGGTGGGATTCCCGGAAAACGAGAATCAGTGGTGAAAAAATATAAAACCTTAAATTTAACTCTGGTAATATGTGCTACGCACATTTAAGTCAGCATTAACGTAGCATTTTTATAAAACTAAACTTGGTGTAGGCACTTTTAATGCGCCAGGACAACTAGGAGACTAATAGTTTCTTTTGATTTCTACATGCTTGGTAATACATAGTAAAAATGCTCCAAAACATATTCTAGCTTTATAATAACCATCTTCCTTAACATTAAAGGACGATGTTTTACCCTTCGTTGTGTCACACTCTTTGACCTAGACTAAACCCCACGTATCCATAAATTATAAGGTTACCCGTACGTGCCTCATGGCTGTATGTCAACATTTACTATTTAACGTCAAGGCGTTTGATGGTATTGCACTTTGCTTGACATCATTAAAAAACACTCTGTGGTCGTATTTTACCAAGCACTTTCTCTTGACCTCAGTAATGATGCAATCGAAAAATTTCGGTTTCCCATTAACCATAAACTCCACTTAAACACAGTGGCCTTCTTGGAATTTGTTGACAGAAAAGTGGAAATGACTAGCACAGGTTCTAAGATTTTATTGTTTGTTCATATATTATAAATCATAAAATTCTTCGTCATCCAATTCTGTTTCACTTGAGTTTTCAGTTATCGTCGCAGTCATTACTGCAAAATTGCTAGTTTACAACTAAATAATTTATGATATCATTTATTTCCGCATGTCAAAAAATCATGCTGACTCTCAATCTGGTCTAAATATATAAAAAATTTCCTCGTAAATTTAGTATATACTATGAGCTTTCTGAGCTGAATTATAATGCTCGATGTATAAATTACATTTTTAAACATATAAATTCTAAAAATAACGGCCTCTTGGTTGTCAAATAATGTCTCTTCCGTTTTAAAAAATTATACTTATAAGTATGTTACAGTGAGAAGATGCTATTCTCAAACACTCTTCCTTTATATATTGTCCCCTCTCCTGTAGCTTCCATAATTTTTTTTCACCTTTCTTTGGTTAGAGTCGCAGTTTATATAAAACCTTGGCCTGACGTTCATGCAGAACTAAGAGTGACATATGGGAAAAACTGTCTTTTCTTAAATAGAAGTTTTATTTCGTTTCTATTTCGTTTAATAAGATAAATCTTTTTAAAGTTTAGGATTTGCTGTCCCAATAAGTATTTACCATTAGTACTATCGATGTCAACGTTTTTTTACATAACCAGTGTTAAACAATTGTAGCTTAAAGGTCTTTCATTATTCAAGTTTAATGACAAGAATAGTCACCCCTACCAACCGTTATCTATACAGTCCCGTATATATACTAAGTTATCGAGGAAAAAACAACTTTATAAATATAACGAACCAAATTTAAAATGCGTTCAGCTTGCGTAACTTATCTATTTATCGAACCCCAACAACATATTCCAATGAACTTATCGTTATTAGCGATGAATTAGTTAAATACAAGCACGATTCAACTTGAATAAATTAAGAGCTAACTGCCTTAGTAAAAACATTTAGTTAACAAAAATGTCCCCAGCTTCAATGCTTCTCCCTGCGAAGCTACATGTGATAAGTAAAAAGGCAGCCGCTCTTCACAGTTAGCACGTATTTTACACATCAGAATATTAACTTAAAAATATAAATGAGTAAGTCTATAAGTTGAAATTGAAAGCTCAAATAAATAATTTATTAACCCAACGGCGCTACAGTAACAGATACCACTTCCTCATTGCTTGCAGCGAAAATTTTAACAGATTATGGCGGTGTGACAATTAAGATAATCGAAAAGTAAAATTCTTAAATAGTTAAAAACTGAACTTTGTGCTCGCGGAGGTATTCCTGGTAAAAAATACTTGTGACATTCCATTTTTAATTATGACGTTGACCTTTAACTACCCTGAATGGATGGAGCTTCCTTTATGAAGCGTTTTAATGCCTGCAGTAAAAATATTATACTATACCTTCGAAAAAGACTTGCAGGGGCCTTAAACTCTAGAACACAATACTTCACAGGTTACTAGATAGTTGCATTACTAGATATAATTGTGGTTATTTAACGTTATTATGCTAATAATCAAAAAAGCACGCACGAAATAAGTGAAATATCAGAAATATTTATATTAGTAAATTAAATTAATTAGTAAGCAATACGAAAAAAAATGCTACCATTAATTAATTACAATAAAATAAGATATGGCAACTTTAACATAGCATTATAAAATAAAATATATGTAAACATACAGCTATATAATGTTATTTAACGATAATTAACGCAACAATATGAAAGCTTCCATTCTAAAGATAATAAAGAAGATAGGTCAATATATAATAATGTAATTACCGCAGAGCTCACAGTAAGTCAGATAGACCATACACCTAACTAAAAGATAAAAAAAAAGTACTTAAATGGAATCCGAAAATAAATGATAATGGTGTTATAAGTCATGAATCAAAATTATATTGCCTGAAAAGTACCCCTAAAAACCTACTTCCCTTTAAAAATAAATGATACAAAGTAATTGTATAATAAGTGTAATGCAAAATTCAAGCAGTTTATAAAATAATTAATTTTTAAAGGTTATAAAAATAAGCAAAAAAGAAAGAGGATGTTCTTCCGCATTGTTTAAATAAAGTTTCTAAATCTGTTTAAAATATTTAGTAAAACTAGATAACTTAGTTTTTACTTAGTCATCCTCTAGCCTACTACGCTATTTAATAACTTCAGCTATAACGCCCTCTAGACGTTTAGTCTTTGTTCTAGCCCTCTAGATTAAAACTATAACCTTTATAATATCGCTGGTTTTCCAGAGCAACGTAAAACTAAAGCACTAAAGACGCGGTAATAACTGAAAAAGAAAGGAAGAAAGAGCAAAAAATTAGTCCAGCCACTTTTTTTTGGAACTGGCATGCACGGCCAGACTGCTTAAAACCTTAGGTCTCTTAACCAGAATTCCCCTCTTCTGCAGAAGTTGGAGCACGAGTGCCCACCAGTGTACGCTCTTTAGAGAGCTATAATGACACTTTCTCGAAAGACTGAAAAACAGAAAATATAGAGCCTGGACTGTGGCCATATGGCCTAGTGCAGTGTAAAACCTCTAAAGACCACCACTGGGAGAGGCCACCTTAGGCACAAGACCGAAGCCAACCTGGAGACTCCGTGCCAGCCGGGCCTCACCTATTAATCCATGTCCTTTATTATATGTATATGCCATGCATACTTAAACAGTATACAGTTACCCTCAATAATTTAAACTTTAAATTTGTGCTGTAAGGTAATTAAATTCTAAACACGCATCATAATTAAAAAAGTTGTAATAACGGGGAAGGCTATCACGATATGTTTGACAATTGTGGTTTACTGGAAAAAAACCACTATTTGTTAAAAGATATAGCCTTTAAATATCCTAAAAAAAGTTACTTGTTGGTTTATATATAAAAGCTTGACTATATATTTTTCTAAAATTTTCATATATACTATAACTATTAAGTAAAACTAACATAATTATTAGGATTTTTTTAACTAATTTATTAGTAATGAAAAAGTTATTTATCAAATCTCATATTATATAATAATAAAAGTTGACAATTTTCATTAAGCCATTAATCTGAATAGCAATAGATTTTTTTAAAAATTAACAAAACTTCAATAGTCGTTCATAATATTGTTAATTAATACATTTACACTAAAAATGACATATATACTATAATAATAGTTGTTAAACTGATAGATTTACATTCATTTAAAATAATAGCTGACGGATCATATAAAATTAATTAAAAACTATTCACATGAGTTTAATGGCTAATTAATTAATGCATTTTTATATAAAGGATTATTGGATAGCTATTCATGTGAGGAATTTTATAAAGAGTTCTTTTTCCAATTAAAATTTAGTAAAAAGAAATAAATTTTTCTATCAATTTATATATCAATTATATGGATAAATATTAAACAAAGAGGATATATGGAATTTTGAATTTATATATTCAATATATTGAATTAAATGATATTTCATATTTAAGGAGGAGAAATAAATTTATATATATAAAAATAAATACATAACACGTGAACAAAGTATTGGGCGCAAAGTTCATTTTTTATTAATTTCCACTAAACAAACTCGAGCGCATGTTTAACAAATATTTCAAAATATGTGTGCATTGAGTGCGTAAGAATGACATTTTATTTTGTGTTAAACCGGCGTTTCAAGTAAATTTTTATATTTTTTTGATCAAAGAAAACTATTTTTAAGTAGTAGAACAGAATAAATAATTTTATTATCTAACCGCATTTTA